AACAGCTTTCTGCTGGAACACTGATTAGTCCATTAAGAGCTTGTGAATCTCTGTAGTTCATCGATGTAGACCAAGCAAGCAATTGTACTGCAGGGAAAGGGTCAAGAGACAAGCATGTCTCCATAAGTACACACTAAAAGTCCTGTAGTTATTTCAACATGCAGTTGTTTTTTAAAACCTACTGTAAATGGGCAACAGGTGCAATTACTGACACAAGAAACCAGCCAGTTTAAAACTCACCTATGGAATATTCTGAATGAGTCTCCCAATATCTGGCAAAGTTCATATGCTTACCCACCATTTATGTATATTTCAAATGTTAGGAAATACATAATGCATTAGTGAAATCGATGATGGCATCGCTCTGCATCTTCCAGTACATTAAGTCTTTGTAACAAAAAACAACTACATTTCCCTTCATTTGCTGACTGTACTGAATCCCAGCCTCCATTAAAAACACATTTGCCTGCTTCTCCAACCTGATGAGGACTCATCTGGTAAAGGGTTCAGAACACGAGACTATAAGAAAGTTTACAAGCTGACTCTTATTTCTTTATTTCCCATTTGTTTGAAATGATCGTCTCGGCTTATGTAAGGGTAACACACAGCACATACAAACTTTCCACATGATCTGACAGTTATCAGATTCTTTACATGCGGCTTTGAAACAATTCAAGCCCCTGCAGGCCCTTCCCACAGACCCTATGAACAATGTGTGTGTGTTGGAGACACACTCTCTCCTTGATCAATCCCACATGATCAGAAATGTCACGATGTGGGCTTTGCGATGAGTCACCATTCCACAACACAAAATGCTTTGCATCTTGGCAGGTTTTTGTTCAGTTTTGTTTCCCCTCTTAAATACAGCTCATGAAGCAGACTCCAGGCTTTTCATAAAGTAATACATTCTAACAAAGCAGCATCACGCTTATTCTGAAGGATGAGAACTTTGTTAATGTCTGCACTCAGCGCCCACTTCAGGGACAAACACATTTTTAATTCTTTATTGGGAGATGCTGGGAATCAGACGCTGGAATATACCCATTCAGAACTTTAATGATTTAATGGAGACAGTGCACAACCGGCATCATTAATGATAAATCGTCTGCATGGCCTTCAGATTCATTTGGGCTATGGCTTTTTGGCTGCAGAAGCTCAGCTGCTTCTGTGTCTCAGATGAGCCCCCACTTCCATGTAGTTTCCACAGTTCCACTTGTTTTTTTATTTATTTTTTTACGCAAAGGCCTTCGGACAAGAGTACCTGACTTCCTACCACCAAAAGTACTTTGGCCCAGAGCTGAAACGCTAACGTGAAAATAGTGATTTTTTCCCTGTGTCAAATGATCAGATGACTTCAGCGCCTCATCAGTTATAAAACCTATTAAGCTTTACAGATTGCAATTGTAAAAGGGACCCCTCCTCTATCCTCCCCCCATGTAGAGTTGTGGAACTAAAAGGATCAGAAGGACTTGACCCATTAGAGCCGTTCAGAAACAATAACAGACATTAAAAAGAAGGAAAATGCAATTTTCAAAGAGGGGGAAACGCCAATTGAATGACGTCGACTGACATGATGCACTTTAAACTCTTCTAATGTTAAACCTCGTGATTGAGGGAGCGAGTCGAGTGACCATCACTTCAATACTTCGAGTTTCTAGAACAGCCGCTAGATAGCGAAGGATTTCCCTTTAGGTGCACAGGCCCACAGTGCCTAGGGCCTATGAAACTTTTAGGGCCGACGAAGGAGGGAAACAGTAGTGACTGACGAAAAATAAGCTGAAACAACATGCTTGCGGTCAACTCTCGGTGCTCCAAATCAATAATCCTACGATCTCTAGCGGCTGTTCTAGAAACTCGAAGTATTGAAGTGATGGTCACTCGACTCGCTCCATCAATCATGAGGTTCAGCATTAGAAGAGTTTAAAGTGCATCATGTCAGGCGACATCATTCAATGGGCGTTTCCCCCTCTTTTTACACATTTCGGAGTGAAAGTGCCCAGGGCCTACAAACACCAAAATCCGGCCCTGCTAGTCCTTTTTATTTGGAAGTAATAGGAATCTGGAGCACTGGGAGAAATCACCCGGAAACGCAGGGCGAAGTGGGAATTACAGTTCAGTTTCGTAGTTTTAGCAGTTCACAGGCACCGTGCACAACCTGCACAGAGATGATTTTAGTGTCTGTGACTTCTCAGACTTCATTCCCGGAGGACCTACAGTAGCATCTCTTGGCTTTTGTTTCACCTGAGCTTTCAGGTATTCCCTCTGTTAACTTTTTATACTTACTCTATCAACTGCACAGCTGTGTAGAATAAAGATTAGTATAAATTAATACTTCTACTCTGAGATTGTTTCTAAGAAATGAACCATTGATGGAAGTACATATTTAGATTTATTAAAATCTAGAAGACCTTAACAAAAGGGATACACATGTAGCACTAGGAAAACTAGATAAAATGTTTAACTGACTACCTACTGTACAGTAGCAACAAAGGTTTGAGTGTTTTAAAGAGATTCTTTCAGTTTTGGCCATGTATCACACATTTTTTTATAAAGTAGGTCAAAGTGTCCGATTTCAAAAATAAAGAATTAAGTCTGCAATATAAGAATGCATTCCCAATTAATTATGAGCAGAATGTCCCTTGGAAACAGAATATCAGTATCAGGGTGCTGAAGGATATGCAGCACATTTGAATTTCTCAAACAGAGCTGTCATGCTCTTCAGCACAGAGCAGCAGTGGGACAAGCTGATATTTATACAGTAGCCACCCACCAGTCATTCAGGGCAGGTTATTGTAGTAAGTAATTAAACAGGAGTCTCATTCCACCTGGAGGCTGTTATCCACAACCTGCCTCAGGTGATTCAAGACTACTTAAGCCATAGACGTCATAGAGTGTACTTAGTCTATAGCTTTGCCCAAGTTCCCAAATGCTCTCTGTGTTTGCTTCCTGGACTTTCTCTGGATTCTGCTTTGATCCTTTGTATATACGGTGTCTCTTGGTTTTGAACTTTGCTTATCTTTGTTTAAGGCTTTGGACAGTTTGCCTGGAATGTGCTTGCCTGTGCTGAGATCCGATGCATTAGTCTGTCTCCCCTGCTGGCTGCCAACACCATGCGGTTTACTCACACAGATGCTTCCATGCCTTGTTGATCTGCCTGCTCTTAGGTTTATTTCCCAAAAACCTGTGGCTGCTTTATCTACAGTAGTGACTCATTACATAAGTAGTTAGGGATGACTGGATTCTGAGGAATTAGTCTACTCCTCTTTACGGAATCTAAAAAGATGCTGGACAAAATGAGAGCTTCAGAGAGCTGGGAGTACTTCTCATTAAAATGGTCTCTGTCCTCCTGACTGGTAACCTCAATAGGAAACTATCGAACAGCGAAATCCCAAACTGCACAGATTAATCTTTGAAAGGCTACACCCTGCCTTATTTAAACATACAGTATGTGGCCCTTCTTAACTTTAAACAACATTTGCAACAAAACTGAAAGTATTTTCATTTCATTGGTTTCAGAAGTACAGAAAAAAACATTTTCTGAGATCATCCATTCCCAAAGTATTTGTCCGCCCAATGTGCAAGAATGTCCATTAAGAACAGTTACAAATGGGCCCTTCTAGCCTGTTTAGACATAGGTAGTAGCTACTTGATCCAATGATCTCATCCTGATACAAACCAGAATATCAGCTTCAACAACATGGCTGAGGAACGTGTTCCACACTCCCACAACTCTCTGTGTAAAGAAGTGCCTCCTGTTCTCGGTTGTAAATGCATTTCCCACTAGTTTTCAGTTGTGTCCCCTGGCTCGTGTTTGTTTCACTGTTGATTCTGAAGATGTACCCAGGGCTGTCTTTGCCAGTGCCTTGGAGGATTGTGAATAGCTGGATCAGGTCCCCTTTGGGAACAGCTTTTCCCTGAATCTGATTTCACTCTCTGCTCCCCAGATCCCCCAGTGTTTGACTACCTGCCTGTGATCTTTGCCTCCTTTTCTACTGGCAACTGGTCTTTGCTGGTCAGTCCATCAGTCCTTTGTCTCCAGTAGAAACAAGCCATAGAAAGTGAGATTATTACAGAGAAGCGATTGCTGACATTCAGCTGTTTCTGCCTCTTTAGGATTTCGAAAGGCTGTGCAGAAATACGTATATCAACAGAATCATCACTAACCTTCTTAATTTTGGATACACTCAGTGCAACCACACAGGAGTACACGGCAAACTTGGTCTGTGTAGCCCCTCGGGTTTAAAGAAAATGCAATAACCTTGTTTCGTTGAACCGTTTTCATAAAATGCCCCCTTTACGATTAACCCGGAATCCTTCCTTAGGCGAAACTACAAGACACCTTTTTTTGAAAAAAAGATGGTGTTCGAAAATTTCAATAGTTATTGAAGTCTCTCTACTTGACGGACTTTCTAAATTGACAGAAGCGTGGCTCTCTTCTCCATTTGAAACAAAGTTATTCGCTTCTCTGTTAACATTCTTACACACAGTACTGTATAATCATTGATCGGCGACATTATGGTCACAGTGTTCCTACAGTATGCGCCTGGACAGCAGCAGTAGAGACTTCACCCCAGTGGGGATTCCTCAGAATGAGTGTAATTCTGCAGCACTGTCCTCACAAAATAAGAAGTCTGCACGCCGTCTGCGCACGGTTGGAACACCTTACTATACGAGTTTTAATAACGTGTAACCATATTTTTACCAATCGTTCACTCCGTTTTTACTAAACTCCATCAGTGCGCTGTGAAATTACCATTCACCTCCATGTGATGCTGAGCAACACTGTACTCTACAGACAGGACCGGGCATAATAACCGGGACAGATAATACTTAGTCTGTAGTGATGTCGGTTCATTTTCTAAAGAGGCAGAGTGTATACAGTATACATACTCACACACGGTAAATAGTATCAATGAAAAAACAGCCGAGCACGCCAAATAACCGGCGAGGGGGGAAATCTTTGAAACGACAAACATTTCAGGAGCGTAAAATAAACTTACCAGAAGGTGCAGACCTTGAGACTGCCCACAAATTAAAGTCCACACTGGCGTCACTGGGCAAGTCGCTGGACCTGGTATTTATTGTATCTGACCGCGAAGTGCTACCGCCAGCTTTCTCTGAAGTAACTTCTTGTAGCTCAACATCCATGGCAGCAATTTCAATTAGCAATTAATACCCGGAACAGCAATGCCGAGGGGGTTGAAAGTTCAGTAAAAGAATTAAGTATATACAGAGAACTTTTTATGGTAGGGAACGACGGTGATCACAAGTTATATTCCGGAAGGTGATGATTTAGACCACGAAGCAATCCTTAAAAAAAAAAACGAGATATGGAATCCAGAGGTTATGTAGTTACAGACGTGACATTTGCGGGTAGAAGCATCCTCTAGATTTCAAAGGTGCCCCGTCAACTAGGTGAATCTTAAACAGGGCTTTGCAACAAGTACAGTTTAAAAAACTGAAGAGGGTGAATGAAACGTGGGAGAAAACGCTTCTCGGAACAGCAGGAGTAGAGAGCGTGTCCCGGCTACCCACAGAGACAGAGCGTCTCCTTCGCTCCGCTGCAACTTGCGTCCCGAGTTCCAGCCGGAGCAGACCGAAAGGGTGGGGCTTGCGCGTTAATTTGCACAAGCAGCGCTGACTTTCAAACTGCTGAATGAATGCGGAGAAGCCGAACAGCGTCCCTCCCCCCTCCCCCAGCTTAACCCGCTGATAGAAAATAAGGTATCTGTCTGTAGGGACCGCTCTGGGCTTCAGAGGAGTTGAATGGGTCTCATTATGGCCACCGGGCAGCAAACTGACCAGCTAACATTCAGTATGAGGGAAGTGTTCACCTCGAGCGCTCATGTCGCTCTCGTTGGAACAGATACTGTAACAGTTTTTTTTGGGACCGCTTTTATTCACAGTTTTCCATCATTTCGTGTAATCCTGGATTTAGTAAACTATTGCGCAAATTAACCCGTGATGAGAGTGCGTGAGTGAAGATATAGGAACGGGGAAGGAAAAGAAAAAAAGAGTGCAGTGCTCTCGGGTTCACGTGGGTATGCGCCCCTCCACCGCTATAGACTTGAACCCGGGTCTCCGGCGTTACTTAACAAGGACCCAGCCAGTTGAGCTAAAGGGAGATCTCCCTTCAGCCCGTCGGCTGCGGTCCCTGCTATTCACAGGGAAGTGCTTGGGTCTTTCTGCAGGTGTGAGGGAGAGTGGCAGATTAATAAAAGAGGAGAACAAAAGACAGAGTAGTTTAAAAGCAGTGGGCAGCAGGGAAGAAATGGGCATGAAGCAGGTTAAAACTGAAAAAAGTAGTGCTGGTGAAGGTTATAGGTGAAGATTACAGTTAATGATGCTTGCAGCTGGCTGCACGCAAAGCCTTATTCAGGTGCTAAATGAAAAGTGCCTCTAGAACACACCTGCAGGGCCAGGGTTGCCCACACCTACACAGTATGGACCGGACAGAGTCTCCACCTGTCGCCAGCTCTTGCAGCACCTGGAGAGGATGAGCTTCCCAGTATCTCTTGAGCCAGCTGGGCTGGCTACACCTGTACTAAAGAAAGAGGTTTGCTCACTCACAGCAGAGCACTGAGCAGCATCAGCACAAAACTGGCCAGGGTCAAGCCCATCCCAGCTGGAGGAATGAGGAATGCACTGGGGAACAAACCAGAAGTATTTTGTATTTGAGCCTTTGGCTAAACAGAAACATGCATCCACTGGATAAGGAACAAATCTGTTCAAATGTCACATGGAAGCAGAGGACAGGACACAAGGCAGGACAACAGGCTCAGCTGAGAAATACAGTAATTATTCACCGAGCCAGCATGTTTGTTTTAAAAGGAAAAACAGGAGAAAGTTAAGGGACTGGAAAACTCAAAACAAATCATTTTTAACAACTTGTAACAATATTTTTTTCAGTTCCAACAAATCTCTCATTTTTACTGCCAAGTAAGGCTTTAATCACATTATTGTGAAAGTAAAGCCGGATCTTATCAGAAGGTACCATCGTGTTTTTTGTTTCCATCCATTGTGATAATTTTGTAACCATTATGTGAAATGCATGTTTTTTCCTTTACTTTAAAGGCCGATATCCTTCCTAGCATATCCTGCTAAATGACTGGTCCCTGTTTGCACCCATTAAAAGGAAAACTGACAGTTTTCTGAATCTGAAAGAGGATCAGTACTGAGGGAACTGGACATGTTGTACTGTAAACAGGGTGTATGACAGCCCTCTGGTAACAAAGTAACTCTCTGACACCCAGGCATTGAGAGGTAATTGAATGTTAGCAGATTTTGAGCTGAAATTCAGTATCAGATCCCAATAAATGAACCGTGAACTTTCTTTGATGTCAAAACACTCTCTGTAAACAAGTGTGCGTTAAAAGACATGGCCCTGTTCTTACAGCAGTACCACATTGTCAGAAGCTAACCTCCAGGTGACATCTCAGAACTGACTGAGACGACTGAACTACACCTTTTCTCTGTGCCTGTGTCCGTTCAACTGGCTATTGCACTCCAACCCCTGTATTGTACTTTGTAAACTGCTAAACTGTGAAAACATGAGTTTGTGCAGTATTTGTGGGGCACTGCATTCTGCATGTCTTGGAATTTGCCTTGGCTTAAGGCATCAGCTAAAGACATGAATGAAAAATAAAAGTTGCTGTCCTTCTAGCTAACAAAAGGAGACAGATAAATCACTCAGTGCAATAAAACATTTTTGACAGTATTCAAGCCCCTTTCTCTGGACTCCCCGTCTTTCACATAAACCCAGAATTATGCTGTGTGCGAAGAAGCACTGAAGACTTCACTCAGATAGCTTTCTCCTTTGTGTCATTGATGTCATTCTGCGTAGAGCACTTTCTCTTCACACACCAAGTCCTCCATCATCTGTCCCGGGATCATAACTCCATTGTTGCAAGAAACATGCACTCCAGTCCCCACCTTATCATCCTTCTCAGCTACCTGGAACAATCTATCAGATAGTGCACCTCTTTCGTCAAGAGATCAATGCCATGCTTCTATTACAGTGACCGCATGAGAACTGGAGAGTCTTTTAACAGGGCTTTAAGAACCCCAAGCAATTTGTTTGAGTCCACAGATACAGTGAATTGTTATTCCTCTTCACCCAGTCATCCTATGAGAGCCACAGTAAGTGGTTTTATAGCTTATTAATTAAAAGGCGAAACATGCTTACTGCACGGAGTTGTGCAAAAATCCATCTAGCAGTAGTTTTTGTGGCTCCTCAGCATTTTTAAAGGCAAACTTCCAAAGCCAGTTGAGTTCCTGGGCTCTGGACACAGTATGAACATTAGATAAAATGAAGAACTTAATGGCAGAACAGGTGAATAAAAGTGAAAATCACCCTAAAAATGTCCTACCCCATCAAGAAGTCTGTGTCTCCTTATACAGGTGTATTCATCCTGGGGTTGGAGAATGGGATGTCAAACCTAGGAGAAAATTGAACACACTAGCACCCAAATATCCTGGCTAGGACATATTACTGCTGAGCTTTTTCCCTTTTTTATATATTTAAGACTGGAGGCAGCTCATTATACTTAAATACGGCTTTAAGGATGACAAACATGTTAGCTCTCTAGAGCAGGTACCTTGTAAGATTTAATCATTTACTATATTGAAGAGACTGCAATAGTTTTCAAAGTCTTTTAAGTGATTTAATTACATTAATATGTTTACTACAATTAGTTAAAAAAAACCTAGCTCCAAACCTTAATTAATCTCCTATTTTCCTTCAGAAATAGATTAATGAAATTTAGAGAGCTCGCCCTGGAGATCCATAGTCCTGGAACTTTTAGAATTAAGCTTTTATTTTCTTTAACAAAGGATCAATAGAATCTGAAGGTTTTCTAAGAAGTTTCAAACAGTAAGCAGAGGACTGCTAAATGTGATCACTTTTCCCAGTTAAGTGAAAAATTGGTCTTAATAAATTGCTGAAGCAGGGCTAGAGACTCCATGTCTGTATTTAATTTCAAGGCTCAGGGCAGGGGTATGTCTAATAGTTATGAATGCATTTAAAAGAGTATTGCTCAGCAGCTAGAAAGCCCCAAATGATTAGACATTTGTAGACTAAATGAACAGACACATTGATGAATGATTTTAATGAGACAGAAAGTGGAAAAAGCCATGCAATGCCCACTGCTCAATGGCTATGCATTACAAGAGCAGGGTGTACATTGCATACATGTGTGCAAAGGTTCCAGGTTAGTCACCTGAAAGATGACAGCTCTGTGATCAAGAGTTGCCTGCGCTGCTCAAGGGCAGCTGCAGGTGAAATCCCAGACAAAACGACGTGTAGAGAATATTGCAGTACGAACAGATGCACGCTTAGAGCTGAATCTGAATTTAATGCTTTGAACATCCTTGCGTACTGGGGTTCAAGGGTACTCTGTTCTCAGCACTACGGAGGCCAAATGC